TTCTCTGGAATTAATAGTATTTTCAAAGTAAAATCTAATGACAGCCTACAACCAACCACAAAATGTGGGTCGCAAGGTCCTCTTCTTTTTTTTTGGTCTTTTTGGGACAGGGTCTTGCTATGCAGTTCAGGCTGGCCTTGAGCTCACTTTGTAGCCCAGGCTGGTCTCACACTCCCAAGGATCCTCCTGCCTCAGCCTTCCGAACACTGGGATTACAGGCGTGTACCACCACTCCCCGCTTGTATTTGCATTTAGAAATATCAGAATAAATCAGGGCGTGGTGGCGCACACCTGCAATCCCAGCACTCGGGAGGCTGAGGCAGGAGGATCGTTGCGAGTTCGAGGCTAACCTGGGCTACAAAGTGAGCTCAAGGCTAGCCTGAACTGCATAGCGAGACCCTGTCTCAAAAAGAAAAAAAAAAAAAAAAGAAAGAAAGAAAGAAAGAAATACCAGAATAAGCTCATGGTGTTTTTTGTTGTTTTTTTTTTTTAATTAAGAAGTTGAGGGCTGTGGGTGTAGCTGGGTGGTAGAGGACTTGCCTAACTTGTTACAAGACCTTGGGCTTGATTCCCCAGCATGGGGGCGGGGCAAGCAGTAAATCTGCTCATTAAAAAAGCCTACAACCACCCAAGGCACACCCTACTCTCCAGACTATGATATCTATCAATCCCCACTAAAAGTTATCTGGACTGAAAAGTTAGGAGGTCTGATTGCAAGTTTGGAGCAAAAAATTTATAACATAGCCTAGGACATGTTGATGTACCCTACTCAAATATGGGCTTCACATAATGGCTTCCTCCCTAAGTATTTACTATGAAAGGGAGATAAGTACAGTAGCCAATTCTAACATTCACTACCTCAGCCAGATGATCAGGTCCAACATCAAGTCATAGCATGAATTTAAACTTTCGTTTCCAAGACCCGCAGAGAGAGAGAGAGTGGATTAATTTGGGAAACCCAAAGAACTTTTAAGTGGCTTGAGCGACTCAAATTACTTGCACAGAGGCAAGGACTGCGTCTTTGCGTTCAAAATGTGCCCACAGAGCTCCTGTCGACTCTAAAAGAAGCTAAGCAAGTAAGCAAAGTTTCTGCAGAGCGTGCGGGAGCTCGCAGTCAAAGGCAGTGCAGCAGGACGCACCGCAGGTTAGGAGAGCTTCCGGGGAGCCAGAGGGCGCACGTGGGCGCACGTGGGCGCAGACTGCGCAGGCGCCACGCGGGACCGCGGAGGCCCAGCTGGGCATTTGAAGCGAGGCGAGAGCTTGGGAGGGTACCTGGGCCGCCGGGCTCTTGGCACTGGCAGTCGCCACCACCACCGGCCTTCGGAGACTGGTCGGGGTCCGCCGCGCTTCCGCCTCGTTCCAGGTCTGGGTTCCCGGGCGCCGGGGGAGGGAGGGGGCAGCCTGAGGGCGACCGGGCCTCGGGCGTTGGCTGCGGGCGTTGGGCGCTGGACGTTGAGAGTGGGCGTTGAAGTCGGGCCGGAACGCTTGCGAGGCTGGAAGTGCAGAGCGGATGGAGGAAGGGTAGGGGAGACCTTGGCACGCAGGCTGGAGAGCACAGGTCTGGGGGTGGGGGGTGTTGAGATGGGTAGACGGGAAAGAGGCAGGAATTGGGGTGTGGGCGAGCAGGAGCCCTCCTGTAGCTTTGGAAATAGCACTGCTTGTTGGTGGATTCGGTGCTTTCGTTTAACGCAAAAGCTAGACTGCAAACAATATTAACGCTAGGCTTTTCCTCTTAATACCACCGAAGGTAGGCGAGGACGATGCACCGCTGAGCTCACTTAGACGTGAGTGGGCGCTGGTTTCCTTAACGAGCGTTTGTAGTGCGTCTGCTGTGTGCCAGCTGCTTTTGAGTTGGCTTTTCGAGGGCCCCTGCTGTGGCTGCCCTTTGGGCCTCTGCAGTTAGAGCAAGTGCTTTTAGTTCCCTTGGTGAGACGCCAGGGTGCTGTATGCAGAGTTGCACAACCAGGAGTCTCACGTGGATTTTCATCTGAGCTGAGTAAGGTGCTGGGTGGGGTTGGGGGTTAGCAAGTAATTCAACTTCCCAATTTCCCCTCACTGCTTTTGGGGAGTAAAGAAATATTGTAATACTCAAATTATCTGCATGTTAAATGTACAAACTAGTTCCTTATACGAGGGAAATGTGTGTGTGAGAGAGTGTGGGTGTGCAAGTAGAGGGCTGGAGATGTAGCTCGGGGTGCAGTGCTTGGCAATAGCATGCTCGAGGCCCTGGGTTGGATCCCTAATACTGAGGCAGAGAGGAGGGGCTGGGAGTAGAAATAATTGCTTGCTGGTTTTCTTTTCTTTTTTTTGTACTGGAGATTGATCAGGTTCTCACCCATGCTAGGCAAGTGCTTTATTGCTGAACTACATCCCCAGTCCTTTGTAAATTGTACTTTGAGATGAAGTCTGACTAAATGGCCCAAACTGATCTGTTTTAATTTGCAATCCTCCTGTCTCAGTCTCCCATCGTAGCTGGGATTACAGGCAGGCAACTCCTGGTTTGGCAGTAGCTACCCCTTAAGCACTTCATCAGCCACCACGTGCTAGGTGGTTTAGGTAGTCTCATTAAATCTCCATGTGCAGAATTTATTAGGAAGTCTACTGCCCACATTATACAATCAAGGAATCTTAGAAAGATGACACGATTAGCTCAAGATAGCATTGCCAAGTGAGGAAAGTGGGACTTGGATCTGAGTTCAAAGTATGCTTGACTAAAACATTGAGTTTGGAGCTTTAAAACAGTGTAGAATGACTCTTCTGGAATGCTTAGTAACGTTAGCAGGATGACAAAAGCAAACTTTTTTCTCAGTAATGGGGATTGAACACAGGGCCTTCACATTGAGCTGTGCCCCCTGCCACCTCCCCTTTTTCTGAGAGAGTGCCTTACTAAGTCACTAGTACCTAGGCTAGGTTTGAATTTGTAACCTTGGCCTCAGCTTCCCAGAGTGTTGGGATTACAGGCTTGCAAACCTTTCAAAGCAAACTGTGAAGAGGACATTCTATTACAGTTGAGTATCTCTGCATTTAGTCTTGTTCTCAAGATGATTAACTTGCTGGGGATTTGTTCTGTCCTCTAGGTTCTGGTCTCCTGGAGAGAAAAGAGAGGGCTTACTTAAAGGTTAGGAGTGTATCCTTGGGCACTCACAACAGCTTGAGAGACAGAGGAGTGGAATTCTGAGGGCCTGAGAGAGGGTCTGCCCTTAGGGAGCATCACATCCTTTGGGGATCAAAGCGTGAAGCACAGAAACAAAGCTGAGGCCACATTTAATTCTCACAGTTATGGAGGCTGGAAGTCTGAAATCATGGTGCCAGGCAAAAATGCTTGAACTCAGGTGATGGTCTCCCTAGATAGTCTTATCACTGGGTAGTCACATGGTGGAGAGAGTGGGAGGGCCTGCGCAGAGCCTCTGAGAGACAGCTTGAGCTCTTATCTCTCCTATGCCTCATTTTTGTGAGTAGTACCAGAGAAATTAGTGATTCTGGATCCTGAGAATATAAAGATCCTTTTAATAGAGACCTCTGGAAAGCCTTCAAACCAGCCTCTTCCTTAGGTAAGGAATTCTGAGAGGATAAAATACAGTACTATTAGTCACCAGTAGACATAAAAATACTGGATTATATATGAAAGAAATTGTTTTAGAACTGGTATTAGCCTGTGATCCTTGCAGTAATAACTGCCCCCCCCCATATAGCTCTCTTTATATATAGATTAGAAGTCTGCTGCCTGAGGCTGGGAAGCACAGTGTTACACCATAGGGTCCCACCTGAGATTCAAATACGCCAGGTGGTTAACATAGGATAATGTTAAGTACATATAATGTACCTGCAAAATCTTACAGATGTTTTTAAATGTCAAAATTCAAACTTAAAAGCCTCTTTATGTCCTTTATGTGCTGATACACATAAATGTATATATGTGTTAAAATTCATAGAACTCAGCTGAGCTTAGTGGCACACACCTAATTGCAACTACTTGGGAGGCTGAGTCAGGAGGATTACAAGTTAGACACCAGGCTGAACAATGTAGTGAGACACTGTCTCAAAGAAAAAAAAAAGCTGGGGATACAGCTCATTGGTCGACTGCTTGCCTAGCAAGCATGAACCCATGTGTTTAATCCTAAAAATTAGAGTTCAATTTCTAAAAATTATAGAACTGTAAATCAAAAGTGTCAATTTAGTGATGTGATAGTTTAAAAAATTAAGTTTCAAAAGATTTTAGGTGACTGGGAATTTTATTTGGATTCACTGTAGCCTGGCTGCCTCCTGTAAAAGCCAATGTTTGAAGTCAGGGATATAGAGTTATGACTTTCCTGTTTACCGGCTGTCAGGCCACATCTGAAATTTTGTCCTCATTTTTGAGTGACATGTGTAGGAGAGTCTCTGACTAATGAGAGAAAAATCCAGAATTGTGCAGAATTTAGAAGGCATTGTATCATTAGGCAAAAGGCCTGAAGGAAAGGAAATATCCTGGCTGTCTCAGATAATTGAAAAGTGGTCACAGGCAGCAACAGAGGTTCAGCTGGGAAGAGAACCTGTGTGTGTGTGTGTGTTAGAACAATTAACTGTCCCCAAATAAAAGAAAGTTTGAAGCATTTAGTTTCAAAATAGATCTGACTGTGTATTTGCATGGATTTTGTCATGGGGATTTCTGAATAGATTAAGGCAGTATCTTTTAATCTGAAACATTCTACCGGTGGACATTCTTTTAAGCTTACATTCTATTTGCTGCTCTAAATGCTGTTTCACAGTGAGTCTAAGATCAATGTTATTAAGGTGAAATATATTTACAGATATTTGAGTTTGGGAAGAGCTGATGCAAGGCATGAGGTTTTGCTCTTAACTTTCAGTAAATAGGACATAATCTGATTCTGCATTTAAAACTGCTTGATGCCATTTCATCAGTGAGTTTCATTTTTCCTCCAGGTTGTCATGAAAACATAAAATAGTTTTTATCATACAAATTTATTTTGAACACCTCATTGTACAAAACACCAGACTGGCTGCTATGGCTGGTTGTTTTTTTTTTTTTTTTTTTTTCACTTTTTAAAATAAGAAATGGTTCCTGCATTCAAGCAGCTAGAAGACAAACCTGTCTATAGGTTTGTTAGGTGATACAGAGTGGTGAGGAGCTGACTGGACTGACTGGCAGTCTTATAGATCAGGACAAATTATGAAAAGCTGTTTCTGGAGCCACTGTTTTGAGAAGGGGGTGACTGTAGTTTATCCTAGATATAATCTGTAAGGTGAAAAAGACTGAAAATTATTTCCTTATTCACCAGAATACTCATTATTTAAAGTTTAGTGAATTTCATTCATTTTAACATGTATTTCCTTTTGCAGTTATAATTACACTGAATATACAGTTTTTTTCTGATTTTTTTTCCATTTACATTTTAACAGACATTTTACGGTTTGTTTGGAAACTAGTATTCTAAATGATAGTTTAGTATTTTTTTCTAGGAGAAGTATCATTGTTAGCCTTCTCTGACTTTGACTTTTAAATAACATACATTTTATACATGCAATTGTACAAGCAGTATGTTTCTGTAGTTTGGATTATTTTAATGAGGTAATTTTTAGAAATAGTGACCAAGTCAGGGGGGAATACTTTTTAGGATCACATATGCACACAGACACACACACACACAGACATGCACGCACACAGTTTCCCAGAAAATAAGCATACATTATTAATTTTATTCCCTTCAGTAATGATAGGCCTTTTAAATTTTACCCATTCTAGGCAGAAAACAATATATAATTATTTCAGTTTGAATTTTGAAAAAAATTTACACCAGGGATTGCAAGATGAAAGGGGTCAAGGACCCCATCAGCCAGAGCTAACCCTGTTCATTAGGAAAGGGTGGAGCTTTCTTAGAAGTCCCACTCAGAAGAACTTTGACTATGGGCAGTATTGTAACTAATGATAGTCAGCAAATCTCAGACTGAAAATAGCATTTGCACAGTGTCTGCTACAGTACCCTGATGTTTTTATTTTTTTATGGTGGGGAGCAGCTAAGGGAGAGGTCAGCAAACTCCTTGGGACCAGAGCAAAGCCAGTCCAACCTGTTAATTCCCTGTTAACTACAGCAGAGATAGCTCTGAGAATGTTTCATTTTCAGTGTTCTCAGCAAAACACTGAGACCTTTCATTTTTGGCCCTATCTCATGCTTGCTCCCTTTTTCATTGTGTATAGTAAAGACTCAGGCTGTTCTGGGTTGTCACTGCCTCTCCATCAGAGAGGTCAGGTCCCACCAGACCCCAGCCTTCCTTTTAGTATGTGTCTAGTTTTTTCTTAATCTCCCATTGCCCCCTCTCAGGACCCCACTGGCTGCACAGGTTGAGGCAGTTTATCCCATGTTTGAAAAGATACCAAACTTGTCATCTTTGGGGTGATACTTATTTCCTACCCTGTTTAACTCATTTTCATATAGTCTTCGTTGTTTTTGTAGTCATGTTTGCTGTCATCTCCTTCTGTGATACATTGCCACTTTAAAAAACTGCAGCACCACAAACTCTTCACATAAATGTAAACATAGAAGAATGATGTGGCCTGTATGATACCTATGTTTTTTGAAGTTAATGTGGTCTCTGTAGTTTATTATATGCTCAGTGGAAAGGTGAATATTGTTGTATTAATCCCTATTAGATCAAGTTTATTTTGTTACCAAAAGATTCCATATCACTGCTTGTTTTCTGTTTTATCAGTTTGTGTCTAAGGTCTTTATCATTATAGATTGAATTTCTTATCCAGTTTTGCTTCCTTCATCTCAAAGTGACACCCTTATGACTCAGATTTCTGGCTACTACTGTTTTTCTTTAGTGTGTTTCTTTCATCCATGTAAAGTGTGTGTGTGTGTGTGTGTGTGTGTGTGTGTGTTTTGTCTCAGTATTTTCTACCTTGAGTTCTGTTTGATCTGCTGTTAATAATAACATTCCACCATAATTTTGGTTATTTGCATAGCATGTTTTTTAATCCTTTTATTTTCAACCTAACTGTATAATTTTTTATTTTATATGTCCATTTTGTGTATCCATCTAACTGAAAGTTTTTCTCCTTGCATCTCTCTCTCTCTCTCTCTTCTAATTGAGACTAACCCAGGGATTACTTGGGCTTGATTCTGTCATCTTACTTGATGTTGTCTGTGTTCCATGTTCTTAAGTTAGACTTTGTGGTTCTACTCTGGTAGTTATGCTAATATTTTAATGCAAAGTTTTTCTGGTACAGAGGTAGAATTACTCAGCGCTCATAGTGTTCATCCCTACCACCACCGTCACGGTGATTTCCTTTTCTAACATAGACATATCAGCACCTGCATTATCATCTAATATTGTGGTTCTCAACCTGTTCCTTTGAATTGGGCAGGTTTGTTGGTACTGGTGTATTTTCCTTGGCAGCTACAGGGTCTCCATCATAATTGCATGCCTGGGGACTTTCTGTTAGGGATCTTCCCAGGATCTGGCCCAATAAAAGTGCTATACCTTTGAGTGTGCCTATGTATTTCTTTTTAAAATCTTTTATGTATTGTTACTGGATTAGGGTATACCTAATTTCTAAAACGACATGACATGGAAGTTGTGTGAGAGTAAGAGAAAAAATTTTATTTTTCGTTCAAGACCATGGTAAACAATAATTTAGGCATTACTCATACATTCAGCTCTTTGGGGTTTTTTTGTTTTTTTTTCCGGTACCGGAAATCGAACTCACGACCTTGCGCTTACCAGGCAGGCACCATGCCTCTAAGCTAAATCCCCAGCGTCACTTTCACCTCTCTTTAACTTTTTTATCCTTTGAGTAGGGAAAATAGGTAGAAATTTTGCCTCCAATTTAAATATAAAACCAGCCACTACTTCAAAAGGCGGAATTGTTTGTCCACTTTAAACGATTCTCCCCTGGGACAGGAAATTTGGTATTCTTGAAGAGCAATAAAAAAACCACAAGCCACCATCCTTTCTGGATAAAGTTTCTTGGGGCACTTTGAAACAAATTAAAAATGAAAGCATGCAATAATGTCTTAATTTATTTTTTGCTAAAGGTATATACATAGATATGATCCTTAAAAAATAAGCACAGCTTGTAAACTATGGAAATTCAGGTGGAGATTATCAAAACAGTGTTTGAGAAAACAGGAGAGAATAGGGTCAGCTGAGATGAATTGTCAAAGATAGGTGGGGTTGATGAGGCAGGTGGCGAAGTGAAGGCATTCTGGGTAGTAGTTTAGCATTTTTGAGGACTTGTGTACCACAAAGTAGAGGGTTCTGAGAGGGCAGAGGTGGGTGATGACCTGATTGATTGCCATGGGCCACCCTGCCTTGAAATCAGAGGGGCAACAGTTCATGGCAGCAGAAGACAGCAAAAGCAGAGAGAGAAAGAGGGAGAGGGGGAGGGGGAGGGGGAGAGAGAGAGAGAGAGAGAACCTCATTTAAACAAGTTTCTGCTGTATTTCACAATAAGGTGTAGGTTTTAGATTGGAAATACTTCTTTTAAAACATGAAAGACCTTTTTCATTCCTGGTGCTTCACAAGCTCTTAACTGTGAGCAACGGTGTGGAACTCTGAGATTACTTTTTAAATGTCTCTTATTGGTCTGTTGAATTCTTTTAAACTTGAAGCTTGTACTTATCCAAAGAGAATTCTTCTCTTCTTGTACCTCTAGGCCAGGTTTGAATGTCAGAGTTAAATGTGCTTTGGAATAGTTCATGGAAATTACCTCTTACATAAATATTTGAAAGAAGTCACCTGTGCTTGCAGTTCTACTTTTGTAAGTTTCTTCTTCAATATATTTCCTTCCTTAGACTTCTATGGATGTTAAATTACCACTTAATATAATGTCAAGAAACTTGGAAGCATCTACTTGTCAAATGGCAGAGCCATTTAATTTTGAAGAAGGTGAAGTCAAGCTTCCATCACACGATTCTGTGAGAACTCCTGGAGGACATCATAACCATCCTAATTTCAGGTTGAAAAGTCCAGAGAATGGAAATGAGAACAATTTTTTGCTTTGTGAGCAAACCAGACAGTATTTAGCTAGTCAAGAAGACACTTCAGTATCTTCAAGTGCTGGTGGCATCAATGGTGAGGTGGTTGGATCCAAAGAAAACAGAAAGGCAGGTGAGTGAAAACCGCTGGCTTTCAATTTTTGTGTCGGGGTCCTTTTAGGGATTGGACCCCAATGCCTTTGTCCCAAGCTACATCACTTGCCCATTTTTCATTGCTTGTTTTTTAAATTTTGAAACAGAGTCTTACTAAGTCACTGAGTTGTGCAGGCTGAGTTTTAACTTGCAGTCCTCCTGCTTTAGCCTCCAAGATTGCTGGGATAAGAGGCATACACACTCACACTGTCTTAGGCTCTCTACTTCTTGATTCTGATAGTGTCTCTGACTTATCGCAAAAAAGTGTATTATATAATAGATACACAGTATGATTTTAAAATACAGTGAATGCTTAAATTTTTAAAAAACTTATTACAACAAAAGACACATTGTCATTAATTCCCATCAGAGTACTCCTGTTGCTTCAGATACACTTATCCCACCTTTCTTGCCTCTTTCTGAAACAGTTCTGGAAGTCCTTTTCCATGAGTGTCTTTAGTTGCACTATCGTGACCACCTTGCTATCCTGAATCATCTCAAAATATTTACTCCTCATGGTCATTTTGACTTCAGAGAAAAGCCAGCAGTCACACAGTTGGCACTGTGCATAAGGTGGATGAGGACACAGCACTTTACAGCCTGCTTTTCCATTAGATGACACTCAGCAGCAGCATTCACTGTATTTTTGATCACTCCACTTAAAGACAAAAGAGAGGGCTTCCAGCACTGCTTCACAAAGTGGCAAGTATGAAGAGATAAGTGTATCTGAAGCAACAGGGAGAGTATTTTGAGAGAGATTAATTAATGGCAGTTTGTCTCTTACTACAATAAATTCACTGTATATTTCGATCACCCATTGTAACCACACATCAGTGGGCTAATGACTGAAACAGCCAAGTGACCACCTTACTGTATTTGTATTTAGTTACCAATTTAGAAGGAAAACCAAATATGTACAGTAGTTGCCTTTGGCTTGATTAATCACAGAATGGATTCCTCAGGAGAGAATGAGTATGGATGAGCTTTTTTCCTCCTACAGAGAAATGTATTAGAAATGTAGGAAAGAATTACATTGGCTTTTTTGTGGGTGTTCTGAAGACTGGCCATATTTTAAAATACCACACAAATTTTGCAAATAATGGCTCAGAAAGATATTAACTGGTTTCACATGATACAATTATTCTTTTTGTCCTAATTCTAAAACTGTGCTTTTGAAGGAGGGTAGGACCTGGTGGAATTTAGCCTCTGTGAAGGTGTATGGCATGATCTTTTAATATTATTTGATATAATCCTCCAAGTATGACTCTTGGACTTCTAGATGTCCTTGGGAATTCAAAACCATTTTAAAGACATTAAAACATTTTTGGCCATTTCTTTCCACGCTGACTTTACACCCAATGCGAAAGCAACGATGGGTCAGCTGCATTAGCTTTATGCTATAGCTCAGTTTAAGGCCAAGGCACCATTGTGGGCTGATGGTCATTGAATGTCTTTACTAGGCACCTGCAGTTAAATGAAACCCAGAAGTGCCAATTTCTCTTTAAAATCTCTCCAATGAAACTGTAAAGATTATTTTTATTAAACCTTGATCCTTGTGTACAGGTATTTTTCTTCTTTTGTGTAATGAAGTAAGAACTGCTCCCACCTTCTAAAGTATGAAAAGCAAGGATGTGACTGAGTTACAAACTTTTTTCTTGGAACACTTTCTTGTGTGAATGACAAACTTTGATTATTTGGACTTAGGTATTGACCAAGCATTTTCTAAAGAGTTGGCTAAGTGAGCTTGTTACTTCAAAGACATCTGACAATATTTTGTTGCCAATGATAAAATTTGAATTTTCCAGCAAAGTAGGATTGCAGGAAATTTGTCTGCCACTCTGAATTTAACAGCGCCCCAAGTATTTAAATCTTTTCTTGTGAGATATATGTGATAGTAACACATTGTAGTAACACATGATATTATTTAATGAAATATGTCAGCATTTGACAACTCTGTGTAATTGGGTGAACCAACCTTCTCCAGGTGGTTAAAAGTCTACCCAAAGGTCAGGGAAAATCAGTTAATTCTCATATAAGACAATAGTGTGGTTTAGAGTCTTTGCTGTGGTTAAGAAGCTACCACTTGGGATTACCTATTTTAAAAGTGTCTGAGAAGGACATTGAATACTCCTCCTTTTGTCAGTGATGTCTCTGTGAGGCCAGATCTTCTTCAGTCAAAGTACCATATGATAAATCGAATGTAAAGACATATATACTCATATATATATACATATATATATATTTTTTTGATCCAGCTATCTTTTGTTAAGGTAAACATTAGGTATACAAAAATGTAAACTTTTTAGCACTTTTTTGTTTTGAAAGGTTCTTTTTAAAACAAATTATGTCAGTATGTAATACACTTATTTTTAAAAGAGTATTTTAAAATTTAGTTTTAATTTCTCATACAGTAATACTGATAGACATAAGCCATGTAAACAGAAGCTCTTGGGGCTCTTCAGTAATTTTTATGAGTATACATGGGTTCTGAGTTCAGAGAGTTTGAGAACTGCTGTCTTTTGAATAGGGAAGAGTTCACAATGAGAACAGCAGTAGTCAAAGTTTTAGACAAGTCCTTATATTCTGTAAGGAAAAGTAGGATGCTCCTTATTTATGGTGTAGTTATGAGACCATTATGGAATGACAGTTATGTGAATATCAGGTAATTCATGGTACTTTTACATTATCAGGAATAAATCATGATATTTGGTTTTTATTAAGAACTGTGTTTTTCTTTCCCAGGAGACTCACTGTCACCATTAAGTGTGGGAGATAATTTACCACCCCGAGAAGAAAAACCTGTAAGTCATTTTTTCTATTTTGCATTTTTGTTTGGGTAAAATATTCTAACATTTTTGTGGTGTGCTGATAAAAATACTCAATTTCTAGATAATAATTCACGGTCAGATTCTCTTTAAAAAATTTATTAGTATATGTTTGTGATACATAATTACAGTCATTTTGGGGAATTGGTACATATCCACATTACACCTTGATTAGTTTTATTCTCCATTCCTCCAACCTTGGTTTTCTTTTCTGTAACCTAGTACCTTAAAAAATGTTTTCTTTTCAGATAATGTAGATTTACAGGCAGTTGTTAGAAATAAAGATTTTATGTAACCTTTATCCAGTTTCCCTAAGTAGTAACAAACTGCAGAACAATATTAAAAGTAGGCTGTTGACATCGATACAATGAAGATACAGAATATTTCTACCATTACAAGAGTTCCTCGTATGCTTCTCTTTTTTTTTTTTTTTTGTTTTTTGCAATACTGTGGATTGAACTCACAACCTTGCGCTTGCCAGGCAGGCGCTTCTGCCACTGAGCTATATCCCCAGGCCCCCTTATATGCTTCTCTATGGTTGCATCCACCTCCCTTATGCCGCTACCCCCTCCTTAAACTCTGGCAGCCATTACTACCTATATTTCCACAATTGTGATGATTTAGGAATGTAGAGATGGAATTAGTATAAAACTTGTTTAGATTGGCTTTTTTCACTCTGAATAATTCTCTTGAAATTGATCTAGGTTGTTTTATCCATCAGTAGTTTGTTCCTTTCTGTTGCTTGCTGTGTATTCTTCCATGGTATGCGTAGCTTGCTTAACCATTCACCCACTAACACATCTACATTAATTCCAGCTTTTGGCTATTGAAAGTAAAACTGCAGTACTCAGGTTTTTGTTGCTGTAAGAGAAATACCTAGGAGTGCAGTCTTGCGGTCATATAATTATTGCATATTTTAAGAAACTCTCAAACTGTTCTGTAGAGTGACTGTACCGTTTTACATGTTCACTAAGAATGTGTGAATGATCTCTGCATCTTTGTCTGCATTTGGTGATGTTCCTATTTTTATTTTACTAACTCTCATAAATCTTGGTTATGTCTTAGTTCTCAGTTCTGTAGTTCTTTGCTGGTTTTTCTATTTTTTTGTTTTGTTTTGTTTTGTTTTTTTCCAGCGCCGGGAATCGAACTCACAAACTCACAACCTCACACTTGCCAGGCAGGCGCTGTGCCGCTGAGCTAAATCCCCAGCCCCTCTATTGTTTTTCATTAATCTATATAGTCCTCCACCAATACCATACAATCTTGATTATTAGAGCTACATAGTAAGTCTTACAATTGAGTACAGAGATTCATTCCACTTTTTCTTTTTCAAAATTGATGTAGCTATTCTAGATCTTCTGCCTTCAAATACATTCAAAATAATAATTCATATCTATAAAATAATCTTGCTGGGATTTTGATATGAACCTGTATATCAGTGTGAAAATTATTGACATTTTTGCTGAGTTAAATCTTCCAATTCTTGAACATAATAATGTCATTCTACTTATGTAGATCTTTGATTTCTTTCACTTTGTAGTTTTTAGCCTACAAGTCCTGTGTGTGTTTTGTTAGATTAATGCTTATGACTTTCACTTTTTGAATGCTATTTTAATTTTTTTTCCTTTGTATGTCCTCAAAGAAAAAAAGTATTTTTTATAATATTTTTTTCTCTTTGTATGTCCTCATATTTATTGCGAATATGTAGAGATAGGATTTTTATGTATCTATCTTGTATTCTGTGACCTTGCTGAGCACTTAACCTAGAACTCTTTTTCTACATCCCAAGCAGTTTTCTACATAGCCATATTTGTATACTTTTTTACACACGCACACACACACACTCACACGTGCACACTTCTTTGGGGGGTATGAACTCTTTTTAATGCTTTATAGTGGTTTTCTTTTCCCCACAAGATTTGTAATTAAAATACATGGAATTTCATGAATGACAGTACATTGGTGACAACAGAATGGAAACAGGACAAGTGTGTGAAGTACAGTCCTTCTTGTGGGGTGTAATATTCACTTACTGGGAATCGCAACATGATGAGGCCCCACGTCTGTACTACCTACTGTTCTAGTCTCAGGCAATGGCAGACTCAGGGGAGTTTAAAAAGCATGAATAAAGCAAATGTAATCAATTGCCTCCGTCACCCTGCCCTTTCTCCATTTTCTTCACATAAGCAGCTGGAACAAGGGTGTGAGGCAGGTCTTGCCTTATTGCACTGGCAAGAGCTCTATCGAATAAGTGTGGTGATAGTGGATGTATTGACCTTCTTTCTGGTATTAGGGAGAAAGCACTCGGTTCTTTACTAGTAACTGTATGGTTTTTTTTTCCCCAGTGATGGGGATTGAACTCAGGGCCTTGTACTTGTTGGCAAGCACTCTACTACTGATCTACATCCCTACTCCTTAATTAGTTAATTAATTAATTAGTTAATTCATTAATTAGTTAATTTACTTATTTATGAAACAGCACTCTGGGAAGCTGAGGCAGGAACAGTCCAAGTTCAAGCCCAGCCTGGGCAATTTAGTGAAAACTTATCTGAAATTAAAGAAAAAAAAGGACCTGGGATGTGGCTCAGTGTGAAGGTCTTGGGTTCCAGCCCCAGTACTGCCAAAACAAAACAATTATGTATTGCCTATTTGTCTTTGCAGTCCAGTGTTGCTTTACATTTTATAGCTGTGTTGTTTGTTCCATACACATTTAGAATTGCTGTCTTCATTGACACTTTTGTCATCATAGTCTCTCTGGTAATTTCCTTTCCTCTGAAAATGTTTATCAGATATTAATTCAACTATTCTGTTCTTATTATTTGAGGTACTTAGCCATCTTTTTATTACCAGTCTGCTTATATCATTGTACTTGGAATGAATTTCTTTTTTCTTTTTTTTTTATTATTTATAGAGTAAAAGAAGGATAACATAGTCATAGAGGGGCTTACTGAATTACAGACAAAGTGGTAGGAAAGTATCAGTGGTTGTTGTTTTACATATTGTTATCTACAAGATAGTCTCTCAGGAAAACAAATAGACAAATAATAGTGAGTTACAGACAAAAGTGGTAGGTTATTATCAATGGTTGTTGTACTATACTTTGGTATCATCAAAGTGGCTTCTAAAGAAAATAAATAGAGCTATACATGAGTGACCAATTGAATATTCATTGACTATTCTCAATGGTGGTTGTAGGAAACACACAGTAATAAACATACATCCATTTACGAAATAGCATAGGAACAATATAGAATGAATTTCTTAATAGCATATAATTAACGTCTTTTAATGTATTTTGCCAGTCTATCTTTTAATTGGTGCATTTAGGGCATTGACATTTAAAAGTAATTCTTGATACTTGGGTGCTTAAAGTTTGCCATTTGTGTTCTGTTTTTCTGCCTTATGGATTCTTTGAACAATTTTTGTAATCCCATTTTGATTTGTCTAGTGATTTTGAGTACATTACTTTGTGTACGTTTTCTGGTGGGTTGCCATAGATTTTGCATTGTATATACACAACTTACTGGTGTCATCGTTTTATCAACTTGAGTATGGTATAGATACTTCCTCATTCAGTCTTCTTATTTGTTTTATAGAAAAGATTAGGGTTTTTAGTTGTATTTAATTGGATGAATAGGGAAAATTCTGTCTGACCAAAAGAGTAAGTTTCAAATCTAGTAGTTAAAAGCAATTATTATCAAATTCTAATCCTGCTGTTCTGTGTTCTTAATAGACGCCTACCAATAATGTGCCTTCTCTGAAGTCAAAAAAATCACACCAGTTTAAGAATTCCTTGTCTATAAATAATCCAGCACTTTTCAACTCTTTACGACTTCCTTTTCGGTCAACAACTTGCCATCGCTGTGGCCTTTTTGGTAAGCATAGTACTCTTAGGTGTCCACTGGATTATTCTACATATGTAAAAATATTTGTATTAATGGAAAATTTTAAACAGAGTGTAAATAAAATAATGTATATGTCATTTAGCTGTCATTTAACTTTTAGTAGCAAAATCTACCCATGATCATTTTTTTGTTTGTTGCTGAGTAGTATTCCATTATATGATTATATTATAATGTGTTTATTTCACTTTATCGTATTTGCAGTACTAAGGGGCCTCTTGAATGCTAGATAAGCACTCTACCACTGAGCCACATACCCAGCTCCTATTTTTTTTAACTGACAGATAAAATTGCTTATCTTTACCATGTACAATATAACATTTCTGACACAGTGTGTTTATTCATTTTCCTGTTGATAAACATGGCTTTGCCCAACTTTGGGCTAGCATGACTAGAATGGGTCTGAACATTTTTGTCCAAGTCTTTGTATAGACATGTGTTTTTATTTATCTTGAGTGAACACTTAGGGGGAGAATTGCTGAGTCAAAGGACAGGTATACTTTCCACTTTGTAAGAAACTGCCAAACCATTTTCCAAGGTAGTCCCATTGGTAATGAGCTTTGCTTGCTGTATGTCATTGCCAACATTTGATACTGTCATTGTTTTGGTAATAACTCATCTCATGGTTGTACAGTGGTATCTCATTGTTCTAATGTGTTGTTCTCTCATGATCAATGGCCTTGAACAATTCTTCTATATGTTTACTGGCTATTTGGATTTTATGGGTTTTGTTTTCACTTTTTTTTGGTACTGCGACTCAAACTCAGGACCTTGCGCTTGCCAAGCAGGTGCTTGTGCCACTGAAATGTATCCCCAGCATGTGTTCACTTTCTTTTAGGGTGGAAGTATTTGATACCAGCCTGACTTTTGTTTATTGTTATTTTTACTACCTTTTTTTTTTTTTTTTTTTTAGATTACCTGTTTTCTTCCATCTGGATACTAAGGTTTTTTAAAAATAGCTTTTGTCAAAAACTTTTTGGTTTTTCTGGGTGTGAATCTCCTTAGCATTTTTTTGTTGTTCTTTAATGATACACGATAAGCTATTTCAGTCTACTTTATCTAGTTTCCATTACAACAGTTTTCTCTTTGCTTTGGTTTCTTCTTTTGTATTTTCTAGGCTCTCTTTTAGGAAGTCATTTATGTCTCTAGTCTTACCTTCCTCTCACTTTCATTCTTACAATGCTTTTTCTCTGCATTTTGAGAGAGTTTTAAAAGTTAAATCTTAATACCTAGTCGTAAACAGCACAACTGTCTCCAGTCTTCTTGAGATGCTCTGCAGAATGATGTTTGATATGTTTAGTTTTTGCAAATGTCTTGATCTCAGTGTCACATCCTTGGCACATACCTCCAGTGACGTCCCAGGTTGTACCCACAGGGTCACTGAGGTGCTCTCAGTGCAAGCAGACATACTACTGCTCCACGGCGTGTCAGCGGAGGGACTGGTCCACCCACAGCATTGTGTGTAAACCTGTCCAGCAAAAGTAAGTGTTCATGCTCTTCATTCATGGGAAATATTGGAAAGGTTTTTTTTTTTTTTTTTTTTTTTTTCTTGATAAAATAGGGATCTAATCAGTTAAGCAGGCCAGAGGTATGTCAAGGGTACTTTCTATTTATTAAAGTATAACAAAATGTATAAACTGGAAGTAAATAGCTCTATAAACTTAGTTTTACTAGTATAATTAGTACATACTAAGATTTAGAAATGGAAGTGAATTTGCAATGGTTAGAATTTTAGAAATCCTTGCTTTTAATCATGAATGCTTGCCTGAGTTTTAATTATTTGTAATTTTCACAGGGCTTCTTGAGTTGTAATTTTAAAATACATAAATCTGACTTGCGTGACATTTACCGGTTTACAAAACAGTTTCATGTATAACCTCATTTGATCCTTAAAACTCTATCTAGTAGGGTTGTTTATTGTTATTATTAATGTAGGGGTTACATTACCTCCATTTTAGAGAGACGAAAACTGAGGCTTGGCAATTGACTATACCTCTGTCTGTTGGTAGCTTTTGGAGGAGGCACACCTGCGCGCACACAGTGTAAACCAGCGTAGGCAGCGCTGGATTGTTTTACTTGGTTACTGCTGGGATTCTCTGGGAGATGCTGTTTTGTTTTTCCTGTATTTTGTTCATTGAGAATCTCAGATAATTGTGACTAATGGCCTCTACTCTTAGTTGCCTCTGTAGCATAAGTATCGCAATCTGTTGCTGTATTTCAGTTTCCACAAACTTGAAGACAATAAGCCACCTTTTGAAACAAACATGGAAGTGAAAAATGAGGTATAGTATTCTTCATCTTTAGAGAAAACTTTAAACGACTCTCCTTTATTAAGATTTAAGCTAAAGTACTCGCACGTCTTCACAGATGTTTAAAGACAAAAATTTCCCTTTAATTCTGTACACCCTACTGATGGGATTTGATAACTGAGGGGTCTTTGAGAATTGTTTCTTTCCAATCTTTGCGCAAAAAGTTCTTGAGATGGCTGTCTTGGTGTAAAATCTTTTTGAAGCCGTTATGTGCAGATTCTGTTTGCGCATGCCACTTTGTGTAGGGCCTGGCTTTCTAATTAAGGAGTGTTTTTTTCTGTTAATAGCTCCCTTTCATATATATATATTAGAGACTAGGTTACTTGTAACCCAAAACACTTTTATTCGTTCTAGCTAATCTGTATAGACATTTTTAGGTTTGGCCAGCTGCCTCATCTATTTTAAAATATTGACTTTCTCCTTTAAATTTGTATTGATTTATTGATTATGGTACAGGGGATTGAACTCCAGGCCTTCGTCCTGAGCTACTTTCTCAGGTTGTGCTTTTTGTTTGTTCGTTCAGATGGTCTTGCTAAGTGGCCCAGACTGGTTCCAATTTGTGATCCTCTTGCTTCAGTCTCCCAAGGTGCTGGGATTACAGGCAATCACCAGCACATTTGGCCCTAATTTAAACATTTGAAATGAGTGCTTATTAATGGACTGCGTCCCTCCTACTTTTTCTTTAAATTTAAATGAACCCAACAGTACTGTATTTGTCATTACCTCGTTCTGGGGTGATGCACAATGCTGTGTACACTGCCTGGGGGTTTTAGGAATTCTTGGAGGCTGTCCCTGTTTGTGCACTCTCTTATTCCAGCTTAGGAGTCAGACTTCCGAAGCCAAGAGTCTAACAGTTAGTGGCCACGGTATCATTGAAACGTGCTTGTAAGTAATGCTTTTATGTGTTTTTTCAAATCAGAGTGACTGTCCACCTGGGGTTACTAAAGAAATAGCCAGTGGTGCCGAGAAAATAATGTTTTCTGATTTGAAAAGTTTACATCTCAAGAAAACCATGGAAATAAAGGTATTTTTTCTTCAGTTGTCATAGGCAGATACCAAAGAACGACTAATTATTATTTCCTCATTCCCTATTTTGAATTTGAGGTCCTAAATAGTTATAGGATATATCTGATTAAATTAGTAAAGATTAAAAAAACTAACACTTTTTTATCTTAGTTAAAGCTTTGTGAAAGTCACATTTGCTTTTGTTTGCAGTGAATTATTGTATCTTCTCTGTCTCTGAAAGGGTACAGTTACTGAATTCAAACACCCAGGTGACTTTTATGTCCAGTTGTATTCTTCAGAAGCTTTAAAACACATGAACCAACTCTCTGCAAGCTTAAGAGAAACATACGAAAATGTGGTGCATGAAGATTATACTCCTATTAAGGGGGAAGTTTGTGTTGCCAAGTACACTGTTGATCAGGTAACTATGGATGAAGTGAATTAATGAAATGTTTCAGCTTACCTTGGTTGTATCAGCTCGTCAACACCAGAGCTTTTAATGGTGGAGAAGATGGCTTAACGCAGACTTGGGTCACACTCCCGTCCTCATTACTCCACTTCGTGCTCACTTTGTTTCCTCCCTGTCCTGCCCCTCTCCAATTCTGTCTTTGATTTCTAGGCAGCTGTTTATGGACTGGTGGTCTTAGAGCTTGTGGTTGTGTAGCTGAGGTATTAATGTGCAATCGGCTGGCTGAAATGGCTTTGGAATATTTGTGCACATTACAGTGTCCTACTTAGACAATGTTAGGTATTTCTTAGCAAGATTCATAACAAATAAAGTTGACATTTTAATTGAACAGAACAGGAGCCTTTCTTTTGCATGGTGTGTAAAATTGGTTGAAGGTTTCTTAAAAATTGCGACATGCTGTTTTAAAGGAGAATACTGTGCTATTTCTTTTCCAGACCTGGAATAGAGTAATAATACAAGATGTTGATATGCTGCAGAAGACAGCACAAGTCTTGTATATTGATTATGGAAATGAAGAAATAATTCCACTAAACAAAATTCACCAACTAAATAGAAACATTGAATTGTTTCCTCCTTCTGTGAGTCTTTTTCCTTATAATTCCTGTCAGTGTCTCTAAGGATCTGTTTTTAATGTTTTGATGGGCACAATGTTTTTCTTCTATTCTGCCATGTTATTATGCCTATTGGCACATCTTTTAGTATGTAAATGAATATCCATTGGATACCTTGACTCTATTATCGCTTATGTAGTTAGTAGAATTTGAACTGAAAAACTAACATTTAGGCACATCTTATCAGTCTACTTTTTTTGTGTGTGGAACTACTGATTGAACCAAGGACCTTCACATTAAGCTACACCCCCAGCCCTTTTTATCTGTTACTTTAAGACAGAGTCTGGCTAAGTTGCCCAAACTGGCTCAAACTTGCAATCCTTCTTGCTTCAGCCTCCCATAAGGCAGGGATTACAAGTGTATGCCACCATGCCTGCCTTCCATTTGCTCTTTTCTATATGTATTACATTATTTGAAAGTGGCCAAAATCAGGTATAGTTACTATGATTATTGTCCTCCCATGAATTTCTTATGTTTAAAGTACCAAAATTCAGCATTGTGAATGATGTAGTAGGAGAGACAAATACAATCATAACGAAAATTGTTGATCTGGTTAGTACTCAAAGACTTCTCATAAGTTTTTAGCATAAAATACATTCTTTAAAAAAATCTCATATAATTAATTAGAAAAACTTGTTTTTAAATACTCATTCTCACGAGTAACTTACACAAAATCTTTCAGGCTATAAAGTGTTTTGTGGCCAGTGTTGTCCCCACAGAGGGTATGTGGAGCAATGATTGTATCAAAACTATTAAATCACTGTTGATAGAGCAGTACTGCTCTATAAAGATTGTCGACATCTTAAAAAAGGAGGAGCTTACCTATGCTGTAGATGTTGTGCTGCAGACTTCAGGTAAGGTCTGAGTCTTCCTTTGTAAATTAAACACTTGATACCTTCTTTTCAACCTGCCACCTATTATTTAAGAAGAAATAGGTGAGGCCAAGTAAACTCCATTCTGGAATCATGCAGATTTTGACTGACAGTGGGGCCTTGGATTGGCAATTTGCCAAGTATGTGGCATTAATTCATAGAACTGAGTGGCTGAGAGGCTGGATTTAGATGTTAACTAGAAGTATCCTCATAGTATAGTTACTGTAAATTTACTCCTAAGTTCTGCTTGGAGAGAAATTCTTGCATTTATTCTTTATCATCAGTGCTTTTCTTTGAGTAACTCCCACAGAACTGCATTTTGCTAGTCCATAATGTTTAAATTATAGATGTGGAAACATTTTGGAATCCCGTCTTTGCATTGTGGATTCATATCTGTTTGAGAAGTAACTTACGGTAGACGTGCCATTTTGAATTCCCAAGGTCTTCTTGCACCTCTACTTTTAGCACCATGGGTCACTTCTCAGAAAATGCAATTGATATGTTGAAATTTAGCATGAAATTTATGTATTTTGTTTCTTTGCTAAGTATATCTCATACTGATTCCAGATTTTGGATATTATTTAAGAGACCTTGAAATTCATGTCAATGATGACTAACCTTTATTTCAGTTATACTGTCAGTCTAACAAAAATGGAGTCTTAGACTGATTTCTTCTTGTAAGTGGTTATTCTAAGTGAGCTTGTGTGATGATAACTTAACCTTTCATGTTACTCAGAATTTTGAAGAGAAATCAATTCATCATGTTTTCAATCAAGTGACTATAGGAATTTTGCTTCAATTTTTAAAGCTGCTCATTACTACTATATTTTGCCCATAGTAGCTGATAGCATAATGCTTACTGGTACATTAATAGCTACAATAGCTCAGTTATGTGATTTACTTACTTGTTTTTCATTTATACGTTTCCTATGCTTTATAAAGTATCTCAATGTAGACATATTTTCTTAATTTTAGGAGAATTTTTAGACCATGTCCTGGTAGAAATGGGATATGGTTTGAAAGCCACAGGACAAAATTCTAAGAAGCAATGTACAGATCAAAGTGAGTATACAGATTAATATTAAACAATGTAGTGACTTCAGTTATGAGACCATCTTCTTTACTAAATAAAAAAAGGCATGACTGTAGCATTGTCAAGACTTACTAGTAACTATTCTATAGACATTGTAAGAAAAGTGAGTTGTTTTTTTTTTTCAGTACTGGGGATCAACCCCAGGGTCTTCACACTGGGTATGTCTCCAGTCATTTTTTTAAATCTTTAAATTTTGAGTTAGGGTCTCCTGCTTGCCCAAGCTAGGCTTGAACTTGTTGTCCCTCTGCCACCACATCCCAGAGTTCTGGGATTACAGGTGTGTGCCACCATGCCTAGTTAATGGTTTCTCATCTCAGTTTTCCCCGTCCATTTCCTTCCCAGGTTTATTTTATGCTTAGTTGTGTGTGTTTTCATAGTCTGTTTCCCCCTTCATTGTGTTCCTTTACCAGTTACTTTAGGTGTAGATACAATTTGTTGTCTCTGTTCATGAATCCAGGGGTGGTGCCATGACTTGGGTATGTCTTCCCCCTATAGCCTGTCCCTTACCCTATTTAGTTCTTATAGAGTCTTCATCCCAAATACCCTTTGTATATATCTTTTTTTCCCCATTTTTTTCTTTCTTTCCCTACTACCATTTCCTAGTGTCAGGAATCCTCATCAGTCACAGACAATTAAAACAACCTTGTGATGTTATCTCTTATCTCCAGTCTATATTTTTATGTTACTTTCCTGTGATATCCATAAAACATAAGTCTTGGTGTAGCAGCTCTGCTGAAAAGCTTTCAGTAGTTCTTTGCCATCTGGAAAAGAAAAACAATGTCTAATAGCAGTCGTGGTTGAAACCATAAGTTTTGGTGTAGCGTGAGAAAGAATAATGAAAAAGGCAAACTTCAGGTCCACAACGTAGAACAAGAAGCTTTGATTAGAAAGGTAGGAAATCTTATTCAAAACAATGGGTGGGTAAATGCCTATGAGAGGAGGAGTCATCACTGATATAAAAGGCTCTGAGGGATCCAACGGAAGGAACAAAGAAATCCAGTGAACAGTATCTACTTCGCTAAGGCACTGTGGAGGTGCTTCATGAAGGGTAGCCTGTGACCGGTACAGCCATACAGAGAAGAGATTATGCAACAGTGTAATACAGTGAATGCTGGGTACAGTGTGAGCCCTGGGAAGGGGGAAGACCACCTAACCAAGACATGCAGAGAATCCTCCTTGGGGCGGCACCACGCTGAGTGGGAATTAGCAGGTGCTGAGGTGAAGAGCTGTGTTCCAAGAAGAAAGAAAACACATGTTAAGGCTTTGAGATATAAAAGAGCGTGGTTAGGTCTGAAAAACAGGTATGGCTAGAGCTGATTATCCAGGGCCGCCATAAAATAAGGAACAGAAGGTTAGGAGGTGAGTTAGTGGAAATCACAAAAGATTTCGTGAGCTCTGTTAAGGGAATTAGACTTGACTCTGAAGCCAGTTTAAGAGAATGGAAGGGTGAGAGGCCCCTGGAGTTATGGCCCTTATTGGACTTGAATGGTGTTTCTGGATATAGCACCATGGAGAGGCTCTGAAGTTAGATGAATTAAGAGGAAGAAATGGGTGTTAAACCTTCTGAAGAATTTAAGACCTGAAGCAGGAGAACCTCCTCAAGTTCGAGGCCAGCTTGGGCTACACAGTGAGTTCAAAACCAGGCTGAACACATAGTGAGACTCTGTTTTTTAAAAAAAGAAGAAAAAAGCCTTAAGAATCTGTCTGTGACTCTGTCACAGAATCACACCTGCACTTCTGTCATACCCCTTCATATATGGCCCATTGAGTGGGCTTTATAGCTGACTCATCTCTTTTGCAGGTTAGAGAACTGACTTTTGCTATGCTCCCACCCCTTCTTCTGCTGAGGGATGCTCGTGCTCTGCTCCACTTCCCATGCCTGCCTCTGAGACTGCACTGCCCCTCACCAGGCCCCCTCTGTTGAAATGTTCATCATACTTAACTCCTGATGTGAACATCATCTGCCCCTCCCGTAATATTCAGAACTTCCAGGAACTAAAACCATAGCTGTCTCTCCCCATTGCTTAGCCTTGACAGGTGTTCAATATATAATTTTTAAAAACACAAAAGCCCCTATTTGTTGATGTTATCATGGAGATGAAAGACTGTTGAGATCGTCTACTCCATCTTTTCACATGTGAGGAGACGTGCTGACGTACGGTGGGTTACTCTAAGACGGGAGATCAGAATCTAGGCCCACTTACTCCAGTTTAGTGCTCTTTCCACCATACCCTTCATCCTTCCTTATGAGGTGCAGGGTGGTGGTTCATTTTTCTTGCCATTGAAAATTTTTAAAATGTTTTGACTCTGTTTTTCTCTTTACCTTTTATATTTGAGATCACTGAATTTTCATTGGCTAGAGTTTGGGGTCAGTTATCCATTTCAGTGGGAATTCTGATGTAACTTCAAGAATCCCTTGTAATGTACTCCGATGTCATTTGTAAGCGACAAATTCCCTCCACTTCTGTGCTATGTCATAGTTTTTCCCTAGTCTTCAAAGAGTCAGAGTACATAGGTTCCTAGTGAAGACCATTTTCTTTAATAATTTTACAATACTTTTGAAAATCTATTTTCTTGTATTTCTGAGTTTAAAAAATGAAGTTGACTTTAGTTTTATCTATCACTAACTCCTTAAAGCAATAGTTTTTGTAGATTTTGGTGTGTTGATGTCATGATGCCTCTTAAATCGTAGTCCTAAAAACGCATTCAATGAGAATATGAAACTTTCTAGGCCATGTGTTTTTTCATTCCTGTGAGTTTTCTTCTTCTCAAATGTTTTTTGATGCTTCAAGACCTTCCTCCATCAATTTCTTACGTCAGTGCTGGTTTTCTTTTTTTGTCTCTTAGTATTTATGTTGCTTATTTCTCTTTTTCTGTTGTTTTTGTTTTTATTGAATGCATTTTTTTAATTGTGAAAAAAAGTTGTGGATATTTTTGTGTTTTTATTTATGTTTTGTTGGGGTTTGGTTTTGTTTTTTGCAGTACACTGGGAGTAGAACCAGGATCTTCACACTCAGCTATAACCCCAGCCTATTTTATTATCTTGAGACAGAGTCTCACTAAGTTACCCAGACTATGCTGAAATTTGCGATCCTCCTATGTCAGCCTCCCAGACTGCTAGAATTGCAGGTGTGCACCACCATGCCTGGCTTAAAAATTGTGTTTCTAATTCAATTTACTATTTTATTATGATTTCTTTTTCTTATGGGATTTATCATTTCACTGTAGAATAGGTCCTACTCTGATATGTTTTTAACTTCAGGATAATCTGAGGTTATGTATTTCAAGTTATAGTTTCTTAAACTCTTTTAGAAGCTATAAAGATTCTGTTATTCAATTTCTTAATTAAATCTGATTTTTTTTATACTACTGGTTTTCTTTCTTGGGGCTAGTCTGGCCTCTGGTGAGATAGAAAACTGACTTGATCTCAGACTGCATCTCCCAGGAATTTTGCCAATTCATATTCATATTCTCTTTTTCAAAATGATCATAGTTTGCCTGATTTAAAAATGCAGTGAAACCAAAATAACTTATTTTTCTGTTTTCGGATAAGGTGATCCTGAAGGTGTTGGAAGGATGACACCTGAAAACAAAACCGGTGTAGACAAAAGTGACCTAATCCCCAAAGTGCTCACTTTGAATGTAGGTGATGAGTTCTGTGGTGTGGTTGCCCACATTCAGACACCCGGGGACTTCTTTTGCCAACAACTACAAAGTGGCCGTAAGTGAATTTTCTTAATTTATTTTATCACAGTAACATACTTCAAGACTCAACGTGCAAAACTAAAGGTAAGGTATAGATGTATTCCTTTTGTTTAAGATGTGATCTGTGGGCTGGGGATATAGCTCAGCTGCACAAGCACCTGCCTGGCAAGTGCACAGTCCTGACTTAGATTCCTGGTACCAAAAATAAAAAATAAAAACAAAAAAAAAAAAAGATGTGATCTGTGTCCACAGATAACCTTGCTGAACTTCAGACATCCCTCAGTGAGTACTGCAATCAGGTGTGTCCACGGTCCAACTTTTATCCATCCATTGGAGATATATGTTGTGCTCAGTTCTCGGGTAAGTAAAGACAATATTGTTGAATGTTTTACTTACAGCTGAGTAAAAATGAGACAGAGTCCTTGGCACTGAATGGCTACATTTGAAGCTTGTGTATTTAGGTACACGACTTATCTTTTTAGAATGTGTGATATGGGAAAGGGTAGAGAGCCTGTGAGTGTCAAGAGTGGGAGGTATGTTTTTTTCAGCCCCTTAGTGTTTGGAGATTGGTACAGATCATTCTGTTTATATAAATGCAGGAAAAAAACCTCTAGGTTTATATCTGTCCCAGTTTTATTTGGAATAGCAAGAGGGCCTGCAAGGTTAGCACTGTAATAGTGCAATCTTTGTGGCTGCACAAACGCTGCCTTGTGACTGCCAGGTTCTGTTACTCTGTGCTGAAGGGATACTGAGTAACTGATAAGCCCCCAGTATGTCAGTTGCTTGCCTGTAGAGTCCAGCTGACTCATACTGCAGGTATTCTAGAAGTGCCCTGCTTGATGCAGATGGTTCGTGTGGTCATCAGGACCTTGGGGATTCACACAATCAGGACGTATTCTCTGCCCTACTGAGCTGTCTACTAGAAAGACAAGGCATGCAAATTAATAATGTCAGCATATGACATAACTAGGAAGCTAGTAATAAAGATTACATTTTAGGAATTGAAGGCCTTGGGGTAAGCAGAGAATGTGTAGTATTTAGTAAGCATACGTGTTTAGTAAAACTTGACATTTTTTAAAAGTGAAATGTAGATATGGCCAATTTGGTGTTTACCTTCATGGAAAAATCTAATTTGGTGTTTACCTTCATGGAAAAATCATTTGAAATTGAGTCTCCTTTGTTTCAGAGGATGACCAGTGGTACCGTGCCTCTGTTTTGGCCTATGCCTCTGAAGAATCTGTACTGGTTGGATATGTCGATTATGGAAACTTTGAAATCCTTAGTTTGACAAGACTTTGTCCCATAATTCCAAAGTTGCTGGAATTGCCAATGCAAGCTCTAAAGTGTATGCTGGCAGGTATGAAGTTTTTATGGTCCTGCTATGATTAAAGCATTGCAACCTAAAAGTGAGAACTGAAATATGAAAAAAATGCACAAGGCAAGGAAAACCCAGATGACAAAACAATAACATATGACCATATGTTTAGAAACTTCCTTGCATGTAATTTGTCCCACCAGGATCAGGGCGGGCTTTCCAGGCCAATAAATGGGCTTCAGCAGTCATTTTTCAAATGTACCATATTTTAACTATTACCTTATATCAAAAAGATATTCCCATGTCTTTGCTATTAGCAGTTTTCTTGTAACTGTGTTTTGCCATATATCCAAGATCATTTTCTTAGGCCATGAGGCAAGATGTAGATGTCAGTGAATCTACTGCTTTTCATATTTGTGACATACAGCCTTCACTGTCCTCTGGGAAGAGTTGAATTACTTTATATGCCCATTAGAATAGTATGAGGGAGTGAACTTCATACATTTATGTGTCACAGAGAGATTTCTTTCTCTTGCCCTGTGTTGATAAGCTAAAACCTAAATCATTTCAATTTGCTAGAGGCTAGAATATTTTCTGTAAATCATTTGGATCATACTTTGATGATCTGACTTCGCCATAACCTCAGTATTGTTGATTCACAAGTGCCCATTCAGGGCTGATTTGTGCCACAAATGTGTCATGTGTTGATGACGAGACCAGTATTTCTTCTGGATTGTTTTGTACTTTTATAATTTTCTTACAATTCTGTTGAAGTATAATTTATACACTCTAAAATTTACTGTTTTGGATATACAGGCCAGTACTTTTTAGTAAATTTACTGGGTTGTGCACCATAATCATGAATCCAGTTTTAGAATACTTCCATCGGCCCAATGAGATCTCGTACCTAGTTTATAGCTAAATCTTTCTCCCCAGGAAACAACTAATATACTATAGATTTGCTTTGCTAGACATTTTCTATCAGTAGAATTATGACTTTTTACACAAATGTGTAAAAGCATTTTATAGGCCTTTTCTTTATTAAATTCTATATTCATTTTCATGTTTAGAAAACTTTTCTCCTCAAGAGAGACTTTTTGGTTCCAGTGTTTGGCACAGCTTTTAAGTATGTGGAAATCAGGAATTATATGTCAAAATACTTGTTTTAGGAATTACTTCAATGTTCTTTAAAAAATTCTTTGTTAGGAGTCAAGCCAACATTAGGAATATGGACTCCAGAGGCTATTTGTCTTATGAAAAAAATTGTACAGAACAAAATGGTCATAGTGAAAGTGGTGGACAAGTTGGAAAACAGTTCCCTGGTGGAACTTACAGATAAATCTGTGACACCTGTCATCAGTGTTGCTAAAGTGCTCATAGATACTGGTTTTGCCATAGACGGAAAGGAAACAGTGACAGATAAACCCAGTGGTAAGTAACTTATCTACTAGATAATGCCTATGCTGGCGTCCAGATGGTTCTGTAAACGTGTAGGTTCTGATCCTTCCAAAAGAATTGATGTTGAGTGCCTTTTTGTCTTTTTAAATCAAGCATTCATCTAAATATGTTTAAGAGTGTGTTTGAAAACTGAAATTTTTGTTGAAAGTTTGATGGGTCACTGGCAGTTGAAGACAGATCAGAAATTCAGATATGAAATTCAGTGAGGAAAAATGATTAATTGTTAAAACTGCTTTTTAAGGCTAACTTTCCTGTATCACTCAGAATGTCAGGGGAAATTTAAGTCTTCCAAAGTAGATACATTAGCAACACACCCCCTGCCAGAGCCTCCCCTCACTTTGCCCATTTGTTGTGCAACATGTTTATTTTCACAGTTCCCTTGGGTACAGAGGGAAAAGTAAATCCGTTGGAGTGGACATGGGTCGAACTTGCTGTTGACCAAACCGTAGATGTTGTGGTCTGCATGATGTATAATCCTGGAGAATTTTATTGCCATATCCTGAAGGATTATGGTAAGTTGACTTGTGTATTTCTTTTTTGCAAATATATCAGTATAAATAATGATTTAACGTGTTTGTTAGTGAGTGTCGTGGTCACTTTTCTTATTGCTCAGACACAATACCTGACACCCAAAGTTCAAGGAGGAGAGGTTTGTTGTAGTTTACAGTTTGTAGAGGCTTCAGTTCATAGTTGGCTGATTCTAAGGTGTAGTGACATGGCAGAGGAGGAACAGTTAATGGTGGGCAGAAAGCAGCAAGGCAGTAAGCAGTAAAGTAGTGACACAGCAAGTGACAACGGCAGCCCTCTTTCTGTCCCTTATAGTCAGGCCACACACCCTTAGGGCAGGCAGCACTCACCCAGGGAGGGCCTTCCCATCATCTACACCCAGAACTGTGCCAAACCAATCAGTGTACTAATTTAGTAATCTCACACCCTAATCCCAGCACCACACACTTAATCCCAGTGTCACACACTGTAGATCCAGTGACCTCTGAAAAGCCCCACCCATGACTGCATGAAGCTTCAGGGAGACATCTAGGTAAAAGCAATAACAGTGAGTAAACAAGTACTAGAAGGGCCAGATGAGTATTTGTATTTTTAAGAAAAATTTGGCTATACTTGGCCTTTCTTCTGTCTCTAGCCATTATTTCTATTTCCAACAACCTCTCTTCATATTTAAATCATTTAGATTTCATAGACTGCCTCCCACATTCATTTTTGGAAATTAAAGTGTTGACTTTATTGATGTATTACATACCCATAGATGAGTTCTCAAATACAAGTGCAGCGCAGTGAATAATCACAAGGTCAACACAGCCTTGAGCATATATAATCAGCCTTTAGGTAGGAGCAGCCTCTAGATCAAAAACTCCTGTTGCAGACACTTTCTTCATGTTTGCTCCTGTCATTGCTTCTCTTTGTTGAGAAGGAAATACTGTTTCACCTTCTTATAGCACAGATGAGTTTTTTCTGGTTTTGAACTTTACATAAATGGAGTCATATAATCTGTATTTTTCTTTGCCTTGTTGCTGTTTTTCATATTGTTCAGTTGCTACCTGTAACTGTTAGCTATTTGTTCTACATGGTATTCTGTTGTATGAGTCCATTGTTCCTGTCTGTCATTGGATAGTTGGCTTATTTCTAGTTTGGGTCTATAAAAATGATGGTGGTGTTGATGTAACATTGTACAAATTTGGTAATATGTTTCCATTGAGTTTATACCTAGGAATGATACTATGACATCATAAAGAGTATATGTATTTTCAGCTTTAATCTTTGAGTGCCTTTTTTTAAGTGGTTATGATAGTTGTCAGTTTGAAATTTCTTATTGCTATAAATCCTCACAAACATCTGTATTCTTTTTCATTCAAGTCATTCTGGTGAGCACTGGTTTTAATTTTTCTAAATCTCAGTTTTCCTTTCTGTCAAGTGAGGACATTAAACAAGATCACTGAGTCCACTTGACTGTCAAGTTGTGAGATTTGTCATTCCTTCATTTAAAGTCACCTGCTTGGCGAGCCATTATTTCATATAGGATAAAATTCAAAATATTTTATTTTCATAGGTGGTTTTATAAGCATACAGTACTAAGTTATGAAAGAGCATGTAGTAGAAAATTTCCCAGTTCCACTTCTCAATTTTCTAATATCTTTACAGAAGTACTCTATACATACGCTTGTATGAATATATGTATTCCTTTTTTATGTATCTATGAATGATAAAGTACTATAAATAACTTTTGTACTTTTTCTCACTTTATTTGGATTATTAGTTAACATAGTTTTTCTCCATTCATTTTTAAAAAAATGTTTCTTTAAAATGCAGGGTAATTTTAGATGTACAGAGAAGTTGCTGAAATAGTATGAAGAATTCCTGTACAGCCTTCACCTAGCTTTCTCTATAGTTGACATGTTTCATAATCATGATACATTTGTTACATGTAAGAGACCAACAGTAGTATAGTATTAGCAGCAGGTTCCAGACTTGACTTTGATTTTGCTAGATTTTCCTCTAATGTCTTTTTTCTATTCTGGGATCTAGTGTTGGACACCACACTGTTGTTTAGCCTCCATTCTATTTTCATGGTTACATGGTGTCTTATTTATGTTCTCACCACTGAGATGTAAAACCAGACACCCTATATTTAGAGGAGGAAAGGTTTGTTTTGGCTCACAGTTTGTAGAGGTTTCAGTTCATAGTTGGCTGGCTCCGAGGCAGGGTGACATGGGATGCAGGAAGCAGCATGCCATTCCTCCTCCTTTCCCTTTTTATTCCATCTAGGCTACAAGTCTATTGGGCTGGTGCCACTCACACGAAGGTTGGGTCTTCCCTCTTCAATAAGTCCACCCACATCCAGAACTATGTGAAACCAATCAGTGATAAATCCAGTATCACATACCCATGATCTAGTCACCCCCAAAAGCCCCACCTATGAGTGTGTGAGGCTTTCGGGGGCATGTAGATATAAGCCATAACATCTGCTATTCCATTGTGTGGATTTATTCTTGTTTAATTAACTTAGGTTTGGATAAAGGATTAGTGTTTCTAAGTTTTCATTACTCTACAGTGCTTATATTCTGAGTTTACCCTGATATTACAACTTAGGGAAAAATTCCTAAGTTGCAGTTACTAGGTCAGAGATAACATGTGCTTGTGCCAGTATCCTTCCAGACGTTGACCAAGCAAACCCCAGCCACAATGCATAAGTGCCTTGTTCTACACCCTTTCCAAAAGCATGCCTTTATGCTTTTTTACTGGGGATGATCTGAAAGGCAAAATTTTTAGTTCATCATAATTGTCATTTCTGTGACTTGAACCACTGCTAGTATTTAAGAGATGCTGGCTTGTAGATTGGCTCAAATCCCTTTAACTTGCACCCTGAAGCTCTGCATGGACTATGTCTTGTTTTTTTTTTTTTTTTTTTGTTTTTCTCTGGT